ATTGCGCTCATATGACTTTACTAGCATTAATTCACGTTATGGAGGGTGTGCGGATACTTTTGTCCACCCTCTGTATAATTTACAATAAGATACTCTTATCGCAGCTTCTTCCTTTTTTTCAAGTGCAAGCAAATCAAATTATGCAGTAGCAATTTCTTAACACCTTAGTATCTTAATTAAATATCCAAAATTAAATGAAATCTTGCAATATGTCAGTATATTTAGAATACCAAAAAAAATCAATAATGAAAAAAATTAAAAACCTGTTTGTTTTAGTTTTGATAAGGTACTTGGAACCTTTGAAGTTCATTTTATAAACAAAATATCACTAGAAATGTTATTAATAAAACGAAATTAAAAGCAAATATTAAAGTATCACAAGCTGAAAAGGAGAGAATTAATCTGCTTTAAGTGAAAATCTTGAAGATACTTCAATTTCTCAGAGTGAACAAGCCATTGATTTTAGAAGGAAGGTATTATAGGAGTTAATAGAAGACTTAGTTACGATTTTTGATATGATAAATCTATTATTACATGAGATTTTTAAAGATTTTGAACCACCTGAAATATATCGAAAAGGCTATGAAAAATTAATGATATATTATAAAAATGACTTAGAACGAATGCAGGTTATTTATAAACAAGATGTGATAAAAGTAAACCTTAAAATACATAAAGAAGACATGTATTAGGAGTGCTTCAAATAAAACACAAAGACTATACTAATAAAAAGAGAACTGAAAAGGAGAAAAAGCAAAAATGAAGGCATAAAAAATATCTCCAGATAATAATCAACTGGAGATATACACAATATGCGTAGGATTATATTATAATCGTAAAACTTACCTAATTTGTTTACACATCTACATTTTTAGTCACAAGTTCAGGTATCTAAAAATGAAGAAAAGTATTTGAATATTTATTATCTTATGAGAAAATTCTAAGCTATGTGTATGACGAAATTCTTCAATTACTTGGAGCTGAATAGGATAAAAAAAGGGTCTATAGTTGGTAAAATTATTGTGTTAATAAAGCATAATTAAGCCAAAAAAATTGCTTTTTACTACTATATAATAATTGTAAAAAAGTTTTTAATAAATTAATTAAATATACTTTATTGTTATTATATATTATATATAAAAACAAAATTTTGCAATTTTAACGTTGACCGTCAGTTAAAGTACTAATTTTTTTTATTTAATATAAAAAATAGCCACAAAAACATATACTTGGATGATATTTACAAACTTTTGAGTGTGTTTAACAGTTCAATCAGAGACATTTATGTAAAAATATAAGCAAAATTTGTAAATAATATTTTTTTATTTATATATTAGAATACTATAAAATTTATAGTAAAATGTAAGACAGTGCATAAAGAATTAACAGAGATTTTTTTGTTCATTTTTTTTTAATGTATAATTAAAATAGCTTAAACATTGACATTACATCTAAAGTTACATAAACTAATTTTACTAATGATTATTAACTGATGTGATATTTCTGATGATTGATAACTACAATAGAAAGCAAATAATTTTTTATTTAAAAATTTTGTAAATACAAACTCTCAAAACTTTACCTCATCTACCGTAAATGTCTTTATTAAGATACTATGATTGTCATATGATTTTTACATTTAGAATTTTAGAATAAATGTTTATACAATACAATGTATAAATATAAATAATAATTATTATATCATTCAATCTGAATTAGTAATAACAATTATACAATTTTTAGTTATATGTAATAACTATTACATCACTCAATCGAATGTTCATCTAGTAATTACTAATATTGTGATATTTATATATATTTGCAAAGAAGCAACTTCACTTCAGGATCTTATTAGACAGACTTTCAGTAAGTTTACTAAAGTAAATACTGTTAATTTCTGATCCTGCATATTTTATGCATAACTGACGACCATTTTATTCTATCTAAAATATCGATATTGAGAACAAATTAGAGTTAATATTAAGATGTGTTAGTATATAGATAGCAAATATTAGTAAGCATTAGTATAGAAATTCTATTTGCTTTGTAAAACATATGTATTTTTTACATTAATAAATCAGTAATTCTGATGAGAATATTACCTCATTTTTTTTATCTATACTAATGAACTTTTGAATTATTCCATCTTATATAAAAATTATCATTGAACATATAATCCATTAATTTATTGAGAGAATTAAATACTAAGCTTCTAGTTGAGTTTGCAAAGCTAATAAAGGAGAATGCTGAAATTTCTAAACTTAGAGAAAAGTTACTAATATTTGCTGAGGTTGAGGTTAAGAATGCAAGGCTGAAGCAAATTATTGAAAAGAATACAAGGTATAATTCTAAGAATGCTAAACTTAAGTTTAGAGTTAGAGAGCTTGAGGCTAGACTTACATTATTAGAACAGGATTCAGAATAGCATTATCATTTTGCTAGATACAAAACAGTAAAGAAGCGATGCTAGTAGTAATAATACTAACTGTTAATATATTCAATTCTGTGATAGACTAACTCAGTAATAAAGTAGGATGAGTATCTAGTGCCCTTAATAGTAACGATAAGAAAATGGTTGATTTCTTGGATGAGATATATAAGAAAAGCATTAGCAATAAAATTAGAGAGAAAAGAAGTAAAGAGATTAAGAGGCACTCGTAATTTCTTAAAATATACTAAAATTTCTGAGATCACAGATATGTTAACTTCAGAGTAAGATGAGCAAGACTTATCCAATCTTATGAGGTTAGTTCTGAGAACATAAAATCAGCATCTTACGTTTTATCAAAGTAACCGCAAGTTAATGCATTTAAATTAGCATGTAATCTTGAAAACTGAAGATTCTTCACAATCAGAATTATGTAATATAGAGAAACTTAAATCTGATTTACATAATGAAGTTATTGCTAAGTTAGATAAAAATATAATTGTAGAACAGAAGTTAAAGTAACAGTTATCGTTACTTGCACATATATCTACGTTAGATCAAACTTCAGAAGAACAGGATCTATCTTCAGATATCATACAAAATATAGTTTGCATGTTCAGGAAAGCTAATAAGCTTAGTCAAGAAGCAATTTTGTATTGGTATTACTTTATAGAAAAATATGATAAAAGAATTAATAATATTGTTGCTGATGGAGTTAAGAAAAAAGCTGCAATATTTATAGTATATCAAGAAATCAAATAGCTTTTATCTGATATAATAAATATGAATTTGTATTAAAAAATCTTTAGAGCTAGAAAATTATATAAATTATTCAATACATTGAGACTAGAAAAAATTAAACAGGTCTCTTATAACGCAGATACTATTTCGAGTCTCAATTATCTATAAATATAAAATATTATAGATCATGTGAATTCAGCGACAAATTCACACAATAAAACTATGAAGATTCTTTATGATTAAAGTTATATGATTTTAAAAATTAATCTGACTAATGCATATATTCCTTCAAAAGCTGAGGTAAGTATATCAATAAATGTATTATCTGCGATCCAATCTAAATCAAATTTATGATTGGTTCTATTTTTACAACAAGATATTGGATCAATATCCTAATCTATATAGAGAATGTAGTAGTAAAAATTTTGATTATTATGAATTACTGATGAGACATTATGTGAGTCTCGAAAGAGACCATCTATTCATTATGCAAATTAAATCATAATGATAAAGAAATAGAAGATAGATATAAAGCCAGATCTTATTTTATTAAATGTGAACAGCGTGAAATTGAGATAATTGCATAGTCTCATTATTCTACAATACTATATTTGCTCACATTTTATTTTACAAGGCTAATTTATGTCAAGTATGCTTATTATAATTTAAATTGATTTGCAATCATATAAAAAGACAATATAATCAAGTCTAATAAAGTATTAATTTCTGAATATCTGAATTAGTATGTCAAATTAAGTGGATTACCAAGCATTTTGACAGATAAAATTCATTTCAACTTATACAAAAAATATAAAAAAGAAACTAAAAATGAGTTATAACAATTATCAGAAGCTGTAATAAGTATATCAGAAAAACCTCAAGCCTCTGATTTCAAGTCTATTATCTTTGAAGTCAAATCTGATTCAGAGTTAATTATCAAATCTAATGTTAAAGCATTTCACATACTTGAGATTCTGAAATAATTTCAAAGGGATTGATAATTATAATTTGTATTACCTCAGTCGTGAAGCTCACTGTATCCTATTTGCGATAGAAAATATGAGAATTACAGATTATATGATAAATAGTATAAAAATAGAACAGAATATTATCTTACTTGCTTCACTTCAGACAATAAATTCAAATTTGTAATTGTAGCATAATGTAATATCAATCACCTGAAATGCATAGAAGAGATTCAATAAAAAAATAAGGCAGAACAAGAGACTTTTCCACTAAAGGTGTATACTTTCTATAGTACCTTCTTACTATATTACTTTGTATTCTTTTTTATTTTTCGCACCTCTAGCTTATTAAAATTATTTTTTTACTTTCTTACCTAGCTGGAGACTCTGCAATCTCAGAAATACTAATTTGTAATCTTGCTTAGCTAAATTCTTTAAAATTATATAAATACTAATTTGTTATTTTATTTAATATAGGAATTTGAAAGCAAATAAGCTTACTGTATGCAGAATGAAATGGAGCGATAAGCAAATTGTATAAAAAAATGTAATCTAATATATTCTTAATATGCATCTACTTCTCTTAATCTGATCTTTTGTTCTAAGTACCTTTGGCTGAGATTTCTTTAGCCAGTTTGCTTATTACCCGATTAGCCAAATAGACCTAAACCCATATCTGTGTTTAGTGAATTGTCAGACAGGGGGGTAGATAGACGAAGACAGTATTGGAAAAAATCTTTTACTCTTAAAAAAGACTTCTATTGTCTAGAAGCTATAATATAGAATCTTGCTTCAGCTTTTTTTATTATTGGACCATCAGGTTTATATAGTCAATCTCAAACATATTTTTGGATTACCCAGAATGCTTGATCATATTTTTATCCTAAAGTTTGTTTTTATGATAATTAGCTTTATTGTAATACTTTTCAGTATATTTCGTATACATTCTATAAGAAGAAGCTGTTGGTATACTACATTTACCACAAGAAATACAAGTTCATCTTTTCTAATAAATATGGCATCCTTCTTTTCTGATAATATTTTTTTTTACATATATGACTATCAATATAGGTGTATAGTGTCAATGTTACTCTTTTCATTGAATAAGTTAACTATGATTTGAAGTCAAAGAGACAATAGCTATGACATAAATCCAATCAATTTGACACACTATTTATTAGAGAGTTTATTTAGTTAACAAAAAATAAATTATAAGTTTATTATTTGCAAAATGTTAAGAGTGTTTATTATTGTTATTAAGTGTATATTAAATATAATATTGAGAATTTGTTAGAATCTCATTAGAATCTGTCCTTTTTCCAAGGTATTTTCATGCCCTTTATATAGAAAAATTATAATTAAGAAAATCTATGGTAAATATGATACTACTGACAATAATAACAGAACTAACAAATATGCTAATTATATTAGATATGATATAAATGATAATAGTAATATAAATAATAGAAATATAATAAATATTATATGTATCCTATTTGGCAGATATAGCAGATTTAGCAGATTTAGCATATATGTCATATTTGACAGGTTCATCAATTTTTGCCAGTTTCAATAAACAAGAATAAAAATGCCATGCCTTTCTATTATTTTACAAATTAAATATTTTTTGAGATTATTAAAATGAGATGACATCTAATATTATAAAAGAATAGAATCTTTATCTCAAATGATGCTAGAAGGGTCAGCAAAAAAAGTGGAGAAAGCATTGCTAGAAGTACTAGAAATAACAATATTCCAGAATTTTAAAGAAAATAGTAAATTTATTAAAGATTATCTTAACTATGTAAAAAAAATGCAATTGGCAGAAAATCCTGATGAATATGCTAAATATATTGCAAGAAAACTGATTTCAGATGAAATATCATATAATATAAGAATAAAAAAAGTTCAAATATAGTATCAAGGAGAACTGCGTACTAAACTAGAGAAATTATATAGCCTTTATTATAAAATATCTTAGGAAGAAAATGTGAAATATCTAAAGAGAATACAAAAGGATTATTCAAGAACTTCTTAACATATCACTTACAGATGATTAAATATATAAAGCTGATAACTTTCTTAATTTATTAACATCCACTGGGGTAGTAATTCAGTATAAGAAATTATTAGTAATTCTTCATGTACAAATGATCATTCAAAACTATTACCTTTATTATATATAAGCCAATAAAAAACTGGTTGATTTTTTTGTACTAGTAAGTTTTTAATCTGGTAAACTTGTGGAGACCAATTTTTATCAGTTGCATGTCATTTACTATCTCCTTCTAACTCATCAAATTCAAGCAAATATTTATTAAAACATCATAATTTAATCACAATTCATCATAACTCATAAGCTCTTCTCGAGTTTTAGAAACTGAGAAATGACCTGCTTCTTTTTTATTACTATAGCTGGAGATAGATCTATAAGATAGATTATAAAATTATTAATCTCTTTTACAATTATAGGCAGATTCTTTACCTAAGCCCAAAATTTTTCAGATAAATGCAATGTTAATAAGTCATATATATCCTGTATACGAAATAATCTTTTAGCCAGGATTTTATTATAACTTTTAACTATACCTATAATATACTTAGACTTAGCCTTTTGAATTTTTACGTCATGTTTTCTCATTAATTTTTTACAATCGCCTCTGATCCAGGACCCTTATCTGTTAAAAATGTTTCTGGCCAAATAAAAGGTTACTCAAGATCATTATAGATTTTCTCAAGAGCTTGAATAATAGTCTTTGAAGTTAAGATTCCTTGCTTATCTTTAACACTATATGCACCAATAGGGATAGATACTTTATATCTCAAAGCCACGTCTACTACATTAAAACAAAAAAGATAGGTAATTTGACCTACTTTATCATAAGGCATATAGAGAATATCTGCCTGGTAAACTTTATTGAGAGTAGTAATAGAGCAAAAACTTGCTCGAGAAATATATCTAGAATAAGGCATATGTATCTAATATATAACCTATTTCTCAAGCTAATCACGCATCTCATCAAGAGAAAAATCATATCCAGCTTTTTGAGAGGCTTTGTGTAATTTTTTCACATTTTGCTGATAACTAATAAGTTGATAATAAATTTTACGCAAAGCTGAAGACACATCCACATTTTGAACCTTATCAGAATCTATTAGAATAATAGGAATCAATAAGAGCTGAGCAGGAATATTTCAATTTATTAGACAATAATTTAGAATTGCGAATAAAGTTGACTAAAGAGGAAACTATTACTATTAAAAATAAAGAAAAGATTTATAAGCTCACAAACTATATAGAGCAATATGAACTATATATCAAATATCTTGAAAAAAATCTTATTTCATGAGAGGATGAGTTAAATAGATTAAAAGCAGAATACTACTCTACCCTACATAATCTTAAAAAATATCAGTTCATTTAGAGCTAAAGGATGAGGTATTAATCGCTCAAAATAATCAAATCATTCTGTTAGAAGATATAGTAGAAAAGCTCAAAAGCTAAATTCTCAAGATATCACTTTTTCAAAATAACAGTAATAAATCTTCTGAAGGAGAATATCAAGAAAATATAGTACTACCAAATATCTTAAAAAATATTAGTACAGCTTTAGATTAGATTAAAGAATATATCAATGGCAATACATCATTTGACTCAAGAAATACATTGAATAGAATACAGATCTCAATAACAATTATTCAAGAGCATAATCAAAAGTATGTTTAGGATAATGCAAACTTACAAGGTTTACTTAATGCATCCCATAGGCAGATCAATAGAATTATGAATGATATGACAAATTTTAGAAATGATTGTCTTCAAAGTATACAGATGATAGAGTAAGCATAGAGTGATGAAAGACAAATCTGACAATAAAAAGATGATAAAATCATTAATCTTAGAGATACGGTATGTGAAAATATTTATGAAAAATATTGATAGAAAAGAAAATATACTGCATATACTCAACAGGCTCAAAATTTAAAAAGATATTATCGTCAATGTAGAAATGATATAGGATTGTTAGAAAATAATCAAGATTGACTATATAATTGATATCAAAGATAAAAGGCTAAGAAAATAAATTTAAGGCAAATTATTTTAAATTTACAAATTAATAATCCTCTAGGAAATATGACAGAAACTAAAAGACAACTATTATATAATACAATAGCAATTATTTTTGTAAAATATGATTAATATACTAGGCAGGAACCCCTAACAATTACTTAGATAAAATCTGAAATTTTATTTTACATTTAAAGCTAAATATGATAGCACTTGAAAATGTCAATGCTAGGGACTTTAATGATGCGATTAAATTTGGTCTTTTAAAATCAAAGTTGTGAAGAAAATATATACCAGTTCTGAATAATAATCACTATACAGCTGAAAACCCTGCTATAAATTCATCAGCTACTCTATGAGTATAGATGAATGCAAAATATCAGCATGAAATAGTAAGTAACCAACAAGTGGCTATTCTGAGATTAACTCAAAAAGATTTTTACTTACAGATAATTCAAATACATATGAAATCAGGATTTGATTATTATTAGATATAACAGATAATGATGTATGAATTTTAGGATTTCTTAAAAGTCACTTATCAGATGATCTATTTACATAGATGAGAATTACAAATCCAGAAGGTATTGATGCATTTTTTACTGAATTAAAAAATATGTAGTTGGAGCGTATTTCTAATTTAAATATGGGTCAGAATTATCAGAATAACTCCTTAACTGAAATTGATAAGTTGAATGTAAAAATAGCCTTTCTTGAAGCCCAACTAACTCAAGCGTAAGCATAATCCCAAAATAATGATACCTTAGACAGAATGCATATACTTGCAGAACATTTGAGAATATTACTTGATGTACCAAAAAATGCTTCGTATTTAGATAAATATATTACTGATGAATTAATAAAAAGATTGGATATTGTTAAAATGCATTTTGCCAAACTTTCTAAGGAAGATACTAGAGATATTGAGTTTTTAAAGCCCAATATTCTTAGTAATGATGGTGTGAATAAAAGATTAGAGCAAATCAAAACTTATTAGTCAAACTTACCAAAAAAGATACCAAAGGCATCAAATCATCTTAGCATTAACGCTTAGAATCTTCAATTAATAGGAGATTAGAAAAAAGGTTAGTATAAATTGAAGACTTTCTAGCTAAACTTACCAAAGGTTCTAAATCCAAAAGTGGATAAGTTTATATAACTACAACACATGAATAGTCTGATCTATTTTTTCTGATGATAATACATCAAAATCTAAGGACAATAATTATAACTCTGATAGTTCATCAACCAGTTCAAACTCCAGAAAATATAATATGAATATTTACATAAATCGTAAAAAAAAAGTGAAGTGTAACGAATGTGCTAAATAGAGTAAATATTCCAATAAATCTTCAAGCTTTAAAGCTTCTGTTCAGCTAAAAGACACTTTGTATAAGATAGAATAGAATAATAATTCATCTTCTATTTATAATGTATTATCAGAACAGAGGAAGAAAAATGAGGCCTTTGCAATAGAAAGGGAGGAAACTCAAAAAAAAATAAAAAATAAGTTAATAATAATCTGAACAAATTATAGTATTTAGAATATTTTTGACTTATAAACTAAAATTTTAATTTTTTTGGAGTTTCCTCCCTTTCTATTACAAAGATCCCAAATAACTAAAGTAAACAAGTATCTTTAAAAGAAATTATTCATAAAATTATTCAAAATGAATTTGAGAATTTTCTTTTATACATAATTTAGCAGATTAAAAAATATAAACCTGAGCCTATCTCAACTCAAGATTCAGATGATAAGTCTATTGATGATCCTATAAAGATAGATTTTGTTTAAAAGGAAGAATTATCTATAAGCATTATGTCTATAAAATGCAAGATTAGTTATCTAAAAATTCTGACTATAGCATTGAACTCTTGCTCTGAAATCGTTATCATAATAAAGGATATTGTATTATGCATAGGGCTAATATTAATAAATCCATAAAGTATAACCTAAATGGTATCGCTACTATACTAGTTAAATTGGTTAGAGCTGTTCATAATTTACTGATAACTTTAGCTCCTGGATTTACTATATATAAAGATTTTATAGCCGTAAAATACTCTAAGCCAATGCTGATATTTTTAAATTTTCTTCTTAAGAAATATAAATACGCAATTGATTAAAATAAAGATGAGTTAAAGATTTCTCATAATGGTAAGGATTATATTATCCCAGTGATCATGCATAAGATCAAGAATAAGCTTAAGATAAATTATACAAATATTACTTTCAAATGTAACAATTCCTCAGCTCTGGACAAAATTTATCAGGACTCGTAAGATGTAAGTGATATTGGCATATTAAAAAAAACACATGAGTTATAAGAAACTTGAAAAAATGCTATATAGCACTCTTAAGTATAATGCAGAAATCAATGAGTATTATGAAAGATTACAGATATAATATAATAAACTTTTTAAAGAATAAACAAGTTATTTTTCTAATATATTCTTTATATTCAATATATTTTTTATGTTTTTTCAACTATCTTCTCATGCGATGTGAAAATTGGTTAAGTCTAAATAGGAGATGAAATTAGCTCTAATAATGCAAATTTGGATTTTGATTTCTTCCTTCTAGTCTTTTTCGCCTTTTTACCTTCTTCTGAAACTGAATCAATAGATTTACTAGGCTCTATCTTAGCATTATATATTTGTTTTTCCAATTCTATAAATAGAGAAATAACTTGGTCTTAGATCTCTGGCTTAATCTGCCTGCCCATAATATTTATATTAGAAAGCGAAACATCAGTTATTAACATGAATTGGTTAATTTCACGCAACCCTATTTTTTTTCTTTACCTCTTCAGATCTAATAAATATGTTTTTGTGATGTGTAATATTTATCTGTTAATCTTTTAAAACATTATTTCTAGGCTTTTTTTCAGCATATTACATAATATGATCATAATCAGCTGATAAAAAATAAGGAATATTACATCATATGCATTGCCTAAGTATAGTAG